CGTCCTTCTTTCTCCCTACAATACCCATGGAATACATTCTCTTTTGGCGCAATCTATACACCTCACATCTTCTTCTGCTCGTCCTTCGTTGCTTCTACACTCACCCCCTTTCCTGTGACATCTCCTTCCTTGGGCTCTTTGAGATTAAGGTCGAATTTGTTGAGGCTTCTTGATAGACAAATCATTCCCGGTTTCCGTCTCCATCGACTTCTTGGTTTTCTTCCTTCTCCCCCTCTTCTAAGCCCGATTGGAGGTGACGAGGTGGATCTACAGTCCGCGCTTCTTTATGAGTTCTTAATCTGTTAAAATTCTTTTTGTTTTTCTATAAGATCACTTTTGTGGATATGTGGACGCCTTCGCGCGCTTCATTCGTGCTTCTCTCGCAATTTATTATGATTTGAAGTTTAAGTCCCTTTTCGAACACATACTTTTTGAATATTTGAACCTTCTGAACCGCCTATCGGTATATTTCTTCGAGTATTTTCTACAACTCCTCTCCGTCTTCTTCTCGTTCCTTTGCCTCTTGTAAGGTCTTCTTTCTCTTTTCTTTGCAATCCCATACTTTCCATATTTAATTTTTTGCTTTAGAATATCCTTGAGTTCTCTCTAGAATGGCTAAGCATTTGAAAGACCTCCTCTCTGAGGGTCGAATTTCTGGGTTTCCGAAAATATTTCTCTATTCCTAATGATGTCATCATCCCTAGTAAACGGAGAGTTCCCTGGAATGAGAGGGATGACCCAAATACAATTGTACAACCCCTCATACTGTTTACCGATTAATGACTGTTGATTACCGGATAAACAATTGATTACCGTTAACTGAACCTGATTATGACTGAAATTGACTGGTGAAAGTACTGAACTGACTGACCGAAAACTGGAACACTGAATTGACTAAGTATGTATGTTAATTGTATTCTATCTGTTTGATTGATTATTTGATCTGTTCGTGTTTTTTTTTTAAACTGTTAATTGAAGGCCTTATCGACGGCCGAACTGGAATTTGGTTATGTTTTATGATCATCATATATAATGTGATTTTATGGTATAATTATCTGAAAACTGATTAGGTATGAGTAATTAGATTAAATCTTGATCAATTGCTTAAGTTGGCCTTATTTACCAAACTAGCCTTAAGTGCCCACTAACTCATACACTTTGAACTCCTTGCACTTGAACAACATGACTTCATCAGCCATTCTCCTTGTGCTCAGCCGACTTGAGAGGGAGAGAGTGAGAAGATTGGTTTTCATCTTGGATTGCTTGGAACTTGGAGAATTGCTTGCTAATTGAAGTGTAAGATTTCTAAATTGAACCTCTAGACTTGCATCAAGGAACCTAGGTATGAAATTTCATCCTTTTAACCTATCTTTAAGTTGATTCATGCATGGTTCATGTCCAATTGTAGAGCTAAGTCATGATTTGGTTCATTAATGGTGAATTGAAGCCCAATCTTTGCATGCATGTTAGTATTGTTGGTTTTGAGTTGTTTCATGGCAAAATGTTACATGCATGTTCAGTCTTGAGTGTAGTCCATGATTTCCATCATGTTTTGGAAACAATTGGCTCCTTGGAGCATCAAATTGGAGCTTTGAATTGATTGATTCATGCATGTTTGCGTGTTCGTATTGTTCATGAAATTGGTTTGAAATTGAGTTTGAATTAAACACCCTTGGCCTTGATTTCAAAAATTTAGCTTTGAAACATGTTATTCCTATGTGTTTATAAATGTTTTCCAGAAAATGGCCCAAGAGATTGGTTTTGATGCATTAAACTTGGTTTTTGGCTGGAGTGCAATCTGGGTTTTCCAGATTTTGCACTTCCGCTCGAGCGGGTAAAGTAACGCTCAAGCGTGAAATCCGAGCATCCAACATCTCCTCTCGCACCGTTTTACAGTCCGCTCGAGCGAGATTGGGAGCTCGAGCGGAGTCATGTCTCAGCTCGAGCGGGCGTCAAGCGGAGATTTCACCCATCCAGTACTTTTACAGTACGCTCGAGCGGGAAAGTTACGCTCGAGCGTGTACCATTTGTTGCATGTCCGCTCAGCGGGAAACCTGCGCTCGAGCGGGACTCCTGTTTTTCTAAAACTGCTTTTCGAGTACATCTTTGCATCTCATCCCATTCTAGGCTATCTTAGGCCTAGTTTAAGACATCTTGTTGAGAATAGAATGTAGAACACAATCGAGGCAACTTAGGGATTAAGTTATTATCTTTCCCAGCTTGTAGCTTAGTGTGTCAATCTGTAACTGGTGTGGGTGTGGCGACTGGGGAGGCACGCTCTAGCATACTGTAGCCCGAGCTCGTGAGTAACGATTGTGTAAAGTATGTTCACAAAATGATTATTTTATATGAACAACTGAACTGTACTGTTTCTGAACTGAATTACTGTTAACTGAATGAATGTATGTCCTATATTCTGAACTGTATTGTGGCATCCTTGGTGTTTACTGTTTACTGTTACTGTTACAGAGATCTCTGTCGGTTTCCTTGTTGGAACCACTACTGTTTACTGACTGATGGCCATCATTTACTGCTCGGTCTTTTAAGACCTACTGTTTACTGTACTGTTATGCTAATGGGTGTACCACATACGACTGTACTGACTGAACTACTGAAATACTGTTTAAATGAACTGTTTTCATTCTGTAAGGACATTCATTCTTAACCTCTTTACGCATTATGTTATTCACTGGGCTTTAGCTCACTGCTCATATATATATGTAGGTGTACAGGCACCAGACCGCGGCTAGGAGCGTCAGGGTTACTCCAGTTTTGTCAAGCCAGCCTATGTGCCTCACTGCGAGGTTCCGAGCCTAATTGTTAAGGCTTAGGGGTGTTTTAGATTTTCCCCTTCTGTACTGTCTTACTGTTCTGTATAGACTGAATGTTTATCGTACTGTTATGCAGGGACTAAGTCCCTAGTCTGAATGATTGTAAATATTGTGCATACTGTTCTGTACCGTTTATGTATGAATGTATGAAAAGTCTTTGTGCATACAGACTGTCACAGCTCATTGGGCATTGTTTCTTTATTGTATTGGCTTCCGCCAGGCCCTGTACTCTGTTTTACTGTACTACTGTTCTGCAGGCCTTCGGTAATCTCGGATTACTGACCGGTTACGGTACTAAACCCATAGGGCCGGGTTTGGGTCGTGACAACAATCGTGTTCCCTCTCCTGTCCATTGCGGAGGGTGGCATTCGCTTTCCCCTACATCCCTTTCTTAGGGCCGTCCTCCCCCACTGGGATCTGATTCCCTCACAACTCAATGTGAATTTCTTTCGAATCGTAATGGGAATTGTTGAATTGAACCGGCGTCTCAGGATTAACCTTGGCATTCCTGCGATTCGGCATTGCTATGCTTTAGCCAAATCCTCTGGTCGGCTCAGGCGTTACTTTCTCAGAGCCAGGGACACCGACCATCACTTGGTAACCATGCTTGCCAGCTCTGGCAAACGAATTGATGATGTAATGGTCGATGTTCGGGGCAACTAGGAATTTGGCGAAGGCGAAGATCGCCTGGACCCTATTCCCAGACGGAAGGGTGAACCAGGTTGCCGTGTGATTCTTTGTTTGTTGAACTTTCTTTTATTCGGCTTCTTCTCCAAATATAATCCTCCATTTTTGCAAGCAATAAGTTGAAGAGGGTTCTGACCTCGACTGACGACGCAGTACTTTCAGACATTAAGACTGCGCTAAAGTATTTTAGCTGTCCAAACGTACAGAAACAAGGTAGAGCCGCCCATATTCTTCTGAGGTACGAGCCTACCTATACTACGTTCTCAGCCATAGAAAACATTCCTATCCCAACCGGCGAACAACACCATTCGGCTCTTATCTTCCCCAGCTTCAAGTCCCTGAGACAGATTGGTCTCGAGACTTTCGATTTGGAGCAAGACTTAGAGCCGGAAGTCGAAGTGGTCGCCGAATCAACCAGGGAGTTTATTACCGAGGCTGAAGAGGTCGACGAAGCTCTGAAATCAACGTTTGAAACTGCCGGTCTTAACCAGCCTAACTCACCGTCCATTTCGGATCGGGTAGAGTTTTCTTTCAGAGACATTTTTACGGATTTAGGGGACCTGCCCAGTGATTTTTCTGAAGGCATGGCTGGGGAAAATCTCACGCAGATGACGAGAAAGAGAAATACCGAGCGAATGGCCACTCGAAAGAAGGCAGAGGCCGCTCATTCTGAGCCTGCCCCGGTTGAATCTTTACAACCTGTTACTGCGGAAGAAACGGCTCAAATTGTTTTGAATGAGGCAGAGAGGGAGGTCGAACAGCAGGTCACGAAAGAACGACTGGTTCTTAAAAAACGGGGTGAAAAACGTAATACCGAGGGAGACGCAGGCTCGGAGGATAGTCTTATTGGCAAAAGGCCTCGTTTAGAGGAATCCGACATGGTTCCTTTTGTTGTTCAACCAAAGATCAAAAACATGCCAATCTCTAATGACGCATCCGTCATAAAGGATCCGGCCGTAGTGTTGAGCTTGGCCGCCTCAGTTTCACTACCGGCTGATAAGGCCACCTTTCAAGAAGAGCCAAATTTAGAGCTTATAGCGTTCGCTGCCCAGTCTGCCCTTCTGGTATATATACGATATTCTCTTTTCTGCTCGTCTGATTTGGTTTGCACACTATATTGCTTGATGTGATGATCCCGATTTGTTTTGCAGACGGCTGGAAGGATAGCCGAACTAGGCCGCCGGTAGCATGATGCCACCGAAAGAATTGGCCGCTTAAAGTGTAACGCCCTCAAAATAATAACATTAAACTAACCACATTCCTTTATTTCATTGAGTTTCATTACATAAGTATTACATGTTAACATCAAACAAAATGCCCTACGGGCTTACAGCTTTCCAAGTTAACACTTGGTTTCAACAAACTGTACAACAAGGGTAAACCCGGGATCGCTATATAAAGTCTAAAACTGAAGGTGAAAGGAGCAAGGCCGAGTTCGAGGCGATGAGGGCCGCTATGGAAAATACGCGAGTCGAAGCGAAAATGGAAAGGGCTCAAACTGCTAACCAGCTCAGATCCGAAGCCAAGGATAGGGCGAACGCGAGCGAGGAATCGCTCGAGTTAGCCAAAGAGGAGTTTGCCAAGGGAAAGGCTGAGTTAAAGGAGTTGAAGGCGGCCAAGGAAAAAGCCGAATCTGAAGTTTCTATGGCGCTTGAGGCTGGGAGGAGCGCCGCCTTCATGGAATATGTAGACGAAGTCCCCAAATTGGAAAATCGGGGATTCAAACATGGGTGGCTCAAAGCCCTTGCTGCCGTTGAAGCTACATTGGCCGTGCCAATTCCATACGAGCAAGTGGACGTTGAGTCACTTGAGTCTGATCCCGAGGATTGATTTGGGAGACATTCTAGTTTTATTAAGTATATTCAATGTACATTTTTTGGATTTTCATATGTAAAATGTCCGCTGCCAGCGCCCAGTTTATAAATGAAAATTTTATATGCTCTCAAGTTATTTTTCGCATTATCTATTATATGAGCGTATAGTTAGGAGAGTTAACAGTTAGAACAAAATGTCAAGCATGCGTGAGACGGCAGACTTAACGGCCGATTAAAATTAGGAATCTGATTTAGTCAGAAACAAAATGGATTCAAGACTAGTGCTCAGATAAATCAATTCGTGGACCCGCTGTGGCACTCGAGCCGTATAGATTGATGAATCTGCCCTTGCCCTAGCTGGTTCACGAATGTAGAACGCTGAATAAAACGTAATAAATTTTGCACGTAAGAATCGATTCATGGAACGGTTGAGGAACTCGAGCCGTATATATTGACCCGATTTAGTCAGAAACAAAATGAATTCAAGACGTGCTCAGATAAATCGATTCGTTGAATGGCTGGGGCACTCGAGCCGTATAGATTGATGAATCTGCCCTTGCCCCAATTGGTTCACGAACGTAGAACGCCGAATAAAACGTAATAAATTTTGCACTTAAGAATCGATTCGTGGAACGGCTGGGGAACTCGAGCCGTATATATTGATCTGATTTAGTCAGAAACAAAATGAATTCACGACTAGTGCTCAAATAAATCGATTCGTGGAACGGCTGGGGCACTCAAGCCGTATAGATTGATGAATCTGTCCTTGCCCCAGATGGTTCATGAACCGAGAACACCGTATATCAGCGGTTGATGGGGCGATTGGGGCGTACAAGACGGTACAGGATGGGCTATTCACGCTTCATTATTAATGAGGTTGCCTCAAAGATGCTGCCCTTATAGGGAATAAATGGGTGTGTACTTCATGAACGAGGGTCCTATTTACATGCTAATTGAGCATCTCAGTCCCGCTCTTTGAGGAAAACGAAACTAGTGCGAATGTCACATAAGCTTTTCTTCAACAGCAGAGGTCAAGCGAAGACGCTAGCTGAGCTAGGAGGTGCCATGAATTGAAGCGGTGAACCGTCACGCACAGGCGATAGGACGTCGAGGGGTCGAGAGAGATACCAATCTCCTCGACGTCGAAGTAGATCGCCTAGGAGGGATAGTCAGCCACAGCATAAGTCTTTTCAATCTCATCCTGGAAGAGAATCCAACGCAACTCCTCGCCTATTGAGTTTTGCAGTCTTCGTGGGTAACAGACCGATGACGAAGGCTGATTCCATCATTCGAGACCCAAATGTGGCAATCAAGTTTGCTCGACAGATTTTTTTGCCCGAAGTTCAGCAGTTGATGGTAAGCTGTTCGGACTTCGAAGTGTTTCGTGAAGGCGTTCACGGGGCGGTAAGGGGACTTTACAAGGCTTATGAGATCGGTATGCATCTCCGCGCCGCTCGTCGGGACATAGAACAGAGGGACGAATGCATTCAGAAGTTAGAAGCTCGCACCGAAAAGGCCAAGCGCAAGCTCAGGAAAAACAAGCTTGCGTTGCCCCAACCAACAGTCCCCCCCAACCCGGTTGTCGCAAAGAGGGTTACTCAAAGGCTGATTAGTGATGCGATCGCCGATTGCAATACGGCGAGCATGTTTGCGATCGAGACTACGAGAAACGTGGCCTGTGAAAAGGGCTTTCATGACGGCCGACTGGTCGGAATTCAGAAGACCAAAGAGAAGCTTGCCGAAGAAGTTTGCCGATGTGAGAATCGTGGCTTTAAGCACGGTTGGATCAGGGCATCTCAAGCCACGGAAGCTCTCCAGGCGTCGGGAATTGATTCGGTGCTGCCACTCTACCAACGTAATCATTTTTCGTTTTCTGCTTTTGAAGTCGAGAAGAGTGAGGATGAGGACGACGCCGTATAAAAATACTATGTAATTGTGTAATTGTTGCCTGATTGAATAAAACGTCCTATTTTAAATGTTTCATTGTAATCTACATTTGGCACACACGTGTTTGCATATGTTTTCATTGTATAAACATTGTCTGGCACAAGTAGTCATTTAATTCCGAACGGTTACGTGCCGGCTTGTCATGATCGCTCCGCCGATTAGGCTTCGAATTCGGAGACTTGTATCGGTCTGCGTGATGCGTCGATGAGGCTCCGAATTTAGAGGCTTAATTGGCCCAAACGTGCCATGTTCCAGGGGCTTCGAATCCAGAAACTGTCATCCCATCTTTAATTTCCATAATTAGTCCATTTTAACTCAAAAAAGCCAAAAATTAGTATATGGAATGGCTATGGCAAACATCTATCGGCATCCGTCTTTTGGAGTTCAGTATTAATGACGTTGCTTCGGGGTCACTGCAAGGATTAAAAATAGATTGCCTCGAACTTTTCACCCTAGTAATTTCACTTACTGTGTTCAGACTTGCTTTAAAACAACTTTGTTGCATGGGGCTGACAAATGTGAATGTCAAATGGAATTTTCTTCAACAGCAGAAGAGGGGCTCGAACCATGGCTGAGCTTGACACTACAATGAATCGCAGCAAGGAACCCACCCGTGCGAGGAGTGGGGCGTTCAAAGAACAGGAAGAACGTCGACCTCCAAGTCGTCGAAGCAGATCACCCCGAAGGAAGGAAGAGGCCGACGTAGCGCTACAACCGTTGAATTTTACTGTTTTCGTGGGGAATTCCTTTCATGTCCTGGATCTTGGCCTTGACATTGTCTATGGTGTCAAGGCTCTCGACCTTGAGGGTGATTGTCGCGCCGGTGTGAACATTGTGGGTTCAAGCGCGGTCAAATCAAAGACTTTCAAGCTACAGACGCTCTCTAGGAAGCGGGCGTCGATCCGGCGCTGCCGCTGTACCTTCACGACCACTTTCCCTCTTTCGCCTTCGAAATTTGAGAAGGGTGAGGATGAAGGTGACGCCGTATGAAAGTAGACTTTGTAATGCTCGAAAGCAAATTGCGTTTTTGTAATTATTGTTTAATCGAATAAAATGTTTTATTTTAAAAGTTTGTATTTCATTGTGAATTTTTGTTAAGTATCTTATTTCAAGTGTTTGCACGTTTTGTTTCGTTTATGCCGTTGTGCCGGCTCGAGTTACATTTCCCTGATCTGATGTGCACTGAGGGCGCTTCGAATTCAGAATATTATTCGGCTTTTGGAAGCTTTATTGACCCAACGGCGTTATGCGCCAAGGGTGCTCCGAATCCGGAGACCATTGGCCCAACGGCGTGACGCGCCGAGGGGGCTTCGAATCTGGAGGCTTTACTTGGCCAATCGTGATATCCACGAAGGGCGCTCCGAATCTGGAGACTTTGTTGGCCCAACGGCGTGATGCGCCGAGGGGGCTCCGAATCCGGAGGCTTTGTCAGCCCAACAGCGTCATGCGCCAAGGGGGCTCCGAATTCGGATGCTTTATTTGGCCAATCGTGATATCCACGAAGGGCGCTCCGAATCCGGAGGCTTTATCGGCCCAACAGCGTCATGCGCCGAGGGGGCTCCGAATTCGGAAGCTTTATTTGGCCAATCATTATATCTACGAAGGGCGCTCCGAATCTGGACGCTTTATCATCCCGGCGGCGTCATGCGCCGAGGGGGCTCCGAATCCGAAGGCTTTATCGGCTCAACGGCATCATGCACCGAGGGGGCTCCGAATTCTGAGGCTTTACTTGGCCAATCGTAATATGCACGAAGGGCACTCCGAATCCGGAGGCTTTATCCTCCCAACGACGTCGTGCGTCGAGGGGGCTCCGAATCCGGAGGCTTTATCGGCCCAACGGCGTCATGCGCCGAGGGAGCTCCGAATCCGGAGGCTTTACTTGGTCAATCGTGATATCCACGAAGGGCACTCCGAATCCAAATGCTTTATCGTTTCAACGGCGTCATGCGTCGAGGGAGCTCCGAATTCGGAGGCTTTATCGGCCCAACGGCGTCATGCGCCGAGGGGGCTTCGAATCCGGAGGCTTTACTTGGCCAATCGTGATATCCACGAAGGGCGCTCCGAATCCAGAGGCTTTATCGGCCCAACGGCGTCATGCGCCGAAGGGGCTCCGAATCCGGAGGCTTTACTTGGCCAATCGTGATATCCACGAAGGACGCTCTAAATCTGGAGGCTTTATCGTCCCCACGGCGTCATGCGCCGAGGGGACTCCAAATCCGGAGGCTTTACTTGGCCAATCGTGATATCCACGAAGGGCGCTCCAAATCTGGAGGCTTTATCGGCCAACGGTGTCATGCGCCGAGGGGGCTTTTTGGTCGAAATGGCCTTTTTAATTAGATTTTGCAGAGGATGGGATTATATCTGCCCAGCAAGAATCCTTGCATTTACAAAGGAGGAATATATACATGGAGAATCATTTTAGAACTGAGATCATTCCCCACCAGTCGGGTTTAATGACAATTCTCGAGTTCCAGGGCCGTAACGTGTTTCTGAGCCGATATGGAATCCTTCCAATGATGACCGTATTAGTCGAGGATGTTTCGATTTGGTATTTCCGGAGGGGGACAGAATGCTGCTGTAGAGTGCCGGGAACCACGGATTTGCTCAATACCGTGTTAGGTAGGAAAGTGCAGCAGCTGATGGTAAGTGCTAGGCACGGCTTGGATAGCATGCAACCAAGTTCGCCCCATGATGATATTATACGGAGATAGGAGCTTGATGACCAAGAATTCTACATCCATCGTTCGAGAGCCATCCATCGTTCGAGAGCCAGCTCGAACGGGTAGTGTGATCTTTCCCAACGGATACTCTGGATTCGTGTTGAAGCCAAACAATAGATAGGGAGCTGGAGACAGGTCTAATTGATTCAAATCGAGTTTGATGAAGGTTTCATAGTACATAACCTCCGAAGTGCTTCCTTGGTCT